CTACAGCATGTTTATGGAAAGTGCTTCTGTCACGCAGAGAGACAAACACACCATCCAGGCGGTGTCATGTTTCTCTTGGTTTAGCTGTGCATATTTATGTCATCAGGTTTGTGTTCACAGGTGTATGAGGTAGTGACAGGTCTGAGCCTGTCTGTCAGTGTGCACGCAAAATTTGATTTGGTTTTGAAAACAGTGGCTTGGAAAAGCTGCTTCTGGGATGGCAAAGGATGACAGATGAAGTCATCGGTATGGGGTAATGATGAAAGGATAATAATGGTGACGGATGTCTGACAATGGTCTGTGTGGCTGAAAACATGATCACAAGAAGTATTTGGGAGCCTGTTTCTGAATGTGTAAACAGTGTTCTTCTCTTTTGTGTTTACTTTCATCTAGTGAACCAGGCTTCATGTGCATTGCCACCTTCTGGGCCCTTACTAGCAAGCTGACAAGTTGAGTGGGACTCTTTGTCACGCTGACGACTGCGAGGAGGCCAGAGAAGGGTATGGCTGTTTTAAACATTATCGCCTCATTAAATGGCCATTATCACACACTTTAGGAGTAAACTGTACCTATCAGTGTGGCAGAATATGCATATCGTCAGTGCGTGTTATAATGAGGTGAGGAGGTCTGGGTGGATGGGTGAGACGACATGACATTAGACTTTCAAACAGGAGACAGCTGCTTGTTTCAAACCAGTACTCAGTGTTGTTACCTCAGCTTATTTGAACCCAAACCATGAGCTTTCCCTAAACCCTAATCAATTTGCTCACTGAGCTGATGACAACAGCTTACTAAGCTGACTAGAAGGAAGTGGAGCAGGGCCTTCCTTGCCCCTATCTAGTATGTGTCCAATGACCAACTGATAATGGTCATTTAATGGAGGGATAACATCCGAAGTGGATGGGAGCTGGGACAGCAGTTACATTAGAGCTTTCAGAGTTACAGTCAGACTCCCATCTGAGTCACTTGTCATCAAACCTCCACTCTGTACACACAGTACTGTGCATAAACTTTCTCATGCTCTTTGTATAATTGCTAGTATGTGAAGCAGGGCTTGGCTTAGCTTCATTTTGACCACTCACAGTAACCACATCCACAAATCAGAGCTCCAGCCCTGGCCCAGAATCAGCCCCCAAGGAGGCACTTTGTCTGTATCAAACTACCACAGAAGGCCCACTCTGAACGGCACTCTGCCTCCAGCTCCATTTAGGCAGGGCAGTAAAGAAACTAAACGGACAAACAACGCCCCGGGGGAGAGTCTGAATTACTGACAACAGCCCAAAACCGTAAAGCTCAACCACTGAACCCCGTGTCCCAACATGAGCTGTGCCTGCCTGTGTGCTCTATCGTATTCTTGATGAGTTTAAAACTCATTAGAGCCTGGCTCCCTGGTTTTCTTTATATAGAAATGACATAAAAAATACATTAGAAATATTTGATTGCTGCCATGGATGCCTGAGCAATGATGATTCATAAAAATGAGTCTGAAGCTGCAGTGGGCTGTGGCTAAGCTGAGACATCCTTTTGTCTTTTGCTACTTTAATCACTGTGAATTCTCTATTTTCTAGCTCCATACTGCTGTCCTCAGTGCTGAGGCTCATTACTGTTTTGCCTACAAACGTGTGCTGATGGCACTCTTATTTACTATACACATAGAGAAGAGGTGCAGAGAATTATTAACTACTATGACGCAGGTGGGTGTCTGGGTTAAGAACTCCTTCCTTTAAATTTCCTTATCCTGTTGCTCAATAAATAGAAATGGTTAGGTGCATTTTTTTTCTAATGTACCACTGGGATGTAAGATCGTTCACATTTTGGCTTTAGTCCCCTAGAACTTGACTAGAACAACACTATTCATCCTCAGAGTTCTGAAAAATATAGTTTATCTCATATAAGCTATTATTTCTTTGTAGCTTCTTCCGGTTCTTTCAAACCAGGAACTCTCAATGAGACGAAAGAGACTGCTTTAGATTTTATAAAAAATAACCGTGCTGGTTTATTCAGAGGATCACAGGTAAAATTCACATTACACGTCCAGAGCTCTCTCACCCCTCTGCCTGCAGGCAGCAGAAAAGCTGAAGATGTCTGGACCCAACAACCTATATAATATTAATCATTTCTGGGCTGTCAAACCGTGACGTCACCTGATAAGCCAGCTTTGCAGCTGCTCTATCGTTTAGCCAAAACATGAGGAAAAGTCAAGGTGCGTGGCTGTTGTTTTCGTGGTGTGTATCTAAACAATTGGACATAACCTTACACATTAAGACAAATATTAAGACTAGCATTACAGTTGACACTAACAGCTCTTTTCCTGTAACCTTGACGTGCCTGCAGTCTGCACTGCAGGCTGAATAGTTAACAGCCTAAGCTAGTCACCCTGTCTGCACTAACATTACTAGACAACAAATCTCTGAATATCTATCTAACTAAAAAATAACCTAACACTCATCAAAACAATACAAATGGAACCTTTACCCTCAAACATCAAAACCTCCTCCTAATCTTCAACTAAAAACAAATAAATATGATTCATTTAAATGCAATTTCACTTTTTTACTCACAGATTTTGTATGTGAGAAGAAAAAACAACTTTTCAATTAGTGAAAATAATCCTGAATTTTAATTTAAATACATGTTTATGGTCGCATGCACGCCAGACAAAAACACTTCTCCTCTGTTATTACTGCAGCCCCTTTTTTTTTCTGTCTGTCTCTTCTACATGCACCCAGCCATCCAGGCTGGAACACATAAACAGTTTGGGCACTGACACATGCACGTCACTTCTCAGAAATGAAAGTGGAAACCAGTTAGTGGTTGTTACACCAGGTATCAGCTGTGGAATGTACCTGGAGCATGAGAGATGGAGGATCATGAGGAGGTGGTGGTGCTAAAAGGGGGCCACTGTCATTCAGTCAGCACCGTAGCAAACACAACCCCCTGCCGCTGCTGAGATTCAGAGGTATGCAAATGCTCAAACATGTTGGAAGGTTTACATTTCAATAAGAAAAAACAACCTCTCTTCCTTTGTGTGGGCCAATAGCTCTTTGTGCTGGGAGGACAGTACAATTTCCATTGGTCATTAGAAATGCAAATGCTTGTGTAGGTATAAACAAATAAGACAAGAGATCTGTGGAAAGATGTGCAAATAGATGTGCTTCTCAGAGCTGTTTGTGTGCTTCTGCAATAAGATCCTGCAAGAAAAGAATAGAAACAACAACCATGCATGCATTACATTCTCTTATTTCTTAACTAATGAATTCAAATATGGAACTGACACCAATTTAAAACCTCTACCTGCCGGGTGATAGACAGCACTGAGCAACCTCTTTGTTTGTAACTTCCACACAACTTTGAAAAAACTAGATGATCTGGTGTAAAACAATTACCTTCTAACAGTCACAATAATTAAAGGCCATGAGGATGATAAGCTATCATCATGCTGATAAACGTATGACCGTAGCTCATGAGGTCTGCCCTGAGGAAAGCCTCTAAACTGCCCCTGTGTCTCTTATATCCCAGATGACCATCCCCTGTAGGATCAGGCCCAAGGGCGAGCGACAACTGTGCCTCTCTTCAGCTACTTTGGGAAATCAGTCCTCGCTTCTGAGGACACCCTCCTCCTCACCCCTCGTCCCTTCTTCCAACCCCAAGTTAACTTGACATTTCGTTTGCAGAGAATATTCTCCCTGGTGATCACCCACCTTGCCCGCTGAAGGATGAGCCCCTGTTTTACACTCTCTCAACATCTCCTGGCACCTCTGTGTAAGTGACACTCTGATCCGAGGTCAGGTATTGTTCTGCTGCTGCTGTACTAGGCCACCTTCACTCAGAGGTATTGTAATTTACCTCCAGCCCCCCACAGTTAAAGTGCAGTGGACTTTACTGGAGCCACTGTGTGAAATGTATCATCACTACATCAGCACAGCTTTTGAATACAACACAAGTGATATTGAAGCCCACATATTAGCATCAATTTACAGTCATTATGTTGACAGTGTGCAGCTTTCTTCTGGTGTGAATCACTCATCATTTCTGGGTCTCTTGTGAATCAAATGAGTGAATCCCGGCTCTTCATTAGCACATGCATCCTCCCTTTGTTATCTGGCATAATTAGCCTTCTCACCTGGCTTCTGGAGGTGGGCACAGCCGTGGTGCCTTTTACAAACAGTGAGCAGCATAGGCTTAGATTACAAAATGGTGGCACCTAACTCACATCTGACAAGGCAGGAGCTTGAGCTCAGTTTGTTAAACAATAAATCTCTAAACTGGGTTGTGGTTGAACAGTGGAGAATCTCGTTTACATGTCATCAGATTAAATATGTACTCACTATTACAAGCTGCCAGGGTGGAACTGACTGTGGCGTGGTCAAATGAACAGCTGTGTGTGTGTGCGCATGTATACACACCTAACCCTGTCTGCTCATGAATCCTGGGCAATAATGCCTTATTTCAGCATAGCTGCCTGTCATCAGCACTCTTATCAAAAATACATACCAGACCATAAGCACAGGGGTGGATGCCAAAATACCTCGGAGCACAAATGAAAGATGGGAGAGGGAGAGAGGGCAGTTTGTGGGGGGTGTGCCGGAGAGGGCAGAAGTCAGAGGGACAAAGAGGTGACACAGGTAAAATAAATCAGAGTTGTGTGAAATATCAGCAAGTGCTTTGTAATGTTGCAGTACTCTTAGTCACAGCATGAGCACTTTCTTGGGGGTGGTAGTGGGGGGGGGGGTGAATTTGAACATCAGAGGCTGTTGACCCCCTATGCAGAGAAATTTAGGGGCATGTCTGAACAGGTCACCGCTGCAACACAACACTGGATAAAGGACTGGTCCACACCCCAGCTAACTACATACACAGAATGGAGGTGTGTGGTTGACACACCAAACCATGAAACATGAGAAACGATGGAATTTGAGGATGTGGAATAGACACAGGCAGGGGAATGTGACATGACATTTCGCTGCAGAACATGTCCATGATATCTGCTCTGTGCTCTGCTACAATATAAGTCTATGAAAACACTGTAGAGATATAAAAATACCTTGTATTTTGACACCCAGCCACAGGCTCCACCTGTCGCACAAGCATTTCTGTGTAGCTTGCAAAACCACATGCAGGCGGGGGAGCACGGGGGGTTTGGGGGGAGGCTGGGTCAAGTAGCGACCAATCAGATGTGAGCTGCAGCTCCAGTGTTATAAAAACCAGTTGTGCTCCCACTGTCCTCCCAGTTCGCTGCCGATGCCTCAACGACCTCACTTCATGTCTGCTGAACAACTCTGGGACTAACACAGGATTAACTTCACCCATTTCCTCTGAAGGCAGCTCCCTAGCTTTGGAAATTGTACGCTTTAGCTTGTTTTATTTGGGCAGAACTGAGCGGAGAAATGCGCCTCATACAGAACATGACGACCATCGCGGAGTGTCCAGCACCCGAATACCCGGTGCCCAACCGGGTCATTAAGATAACAGTGATAGGAGGCTGCGGGGTTGGGAAAACAGGTAAGAAATGAGTAACACCGTGCGTCCAGATTTACGCACTGCGCGTTCACTGAGCCATCTCTTTTGTGCGACTTTACAGCATCTCATGTGTCTAATTCTCTGTCGCCGGTTTTCTGTATTGCAGCGCTTGTAGTGAGATTCCTAACAAGGCGTTTCATCGGAGACTATGAGAGAAATGCTGGTGAGCTACTGACCGATACAATGGCCTAAAGTGGATCCCTAACACTGAAAATGTTGGAGTTAAAGTCGTTTCTCCCCTTTTCTGTGCGCAGGTAATCTCTACTCTCGAGAAGTCCAGCTGGAGGGAGAGCAAGTGACCATCCAGGTTCAGGACACGCCGGGCGCAGAGGTAGGTCTCTCTCAGCTGTTCCGTCCTAGAGGGTTACCACCCGAACATCTGTTTAAAGACTGACGATAATTCAGAACAAATCTAATTTACTGTCTGGCCGTTAAGACTCTCTTGACTAGTCACCAGTCCACAGACGTGCTCGTGCATGCGTGCGTGCATGTTTCTTCTACTGATGTAGAGCCCTTCAGTCTGGTTAATCTAATCTCTCATTTAGGCTAATGGATGTCTGAGGCCAGGGTAAATGATACCCTGGTCCTGGAGGAGTAACCCTATAGCTCCTGTCTGCCCCAGGCAGCATTCCTCTCATTACCAAAGATCAGTGGCATACAGTCAGGGAATGTTTAATCTGTTCTCAGTTCAGTTTATTAGCCTAGCACAGAGCAGGGTTAGTGTTTCCCTGTGCTGTGGTTTAATCACTCTTCATTTTTCTTTCCTTCCCAGATGACAGACAATGGCAGCAGTTTATCAGACCACGTGACCAGCGCCATCCAGTGGGCTGATGCTGTGGTGTTGGTGTACTCCGTAACAGACCGACACAGTTTTGACCTGATCGATCGGTTGCATCAGCTGGTTGCCCGTGCAGGTGGTGCCACTATGCCTCCAGTAATCTTGCTGGCCAATAAGGCGGACCTGCTGCACCTGAGGCGGGTGGACACCCAGCAAGGCTCTTTCCTGGCTAGAACACTAGACTGCTCTTTCTATGAAGTGTCTGCCAGCGAGGACTACAGTCAGGTGCACAGGGCTTTCAACTGGCTGTGCTGCCAGCTAGCCAAGCAGCCGCCCCCTGCCTCCAGCTCCTCAAACAACTCTGCCAGTGCTACAACAGAGAAGAGGCGCTCGACCCTCATCCCCAGGCCAAAATCACCCAACATGCAAGATCTGAAGAGGCGATTCAAGCAAGCGCTGTCTGCAAAAGTGAGGGCTGCCACCTCGGTGTGAGGATTAGAAGCTGAAGGTGGTTCTGAGTGGCCACGGAGAGAAAGAGAGCAAGAAGACAAAAGATTCATGCTTCTCCACTGGACTCCTGTTCCAGTCTGACTGAAGAAGGCAGGTCTGAGATGAAAAGTGATATGTTGTTTATAGCAGGAGACAGATGAATCTTAACAGAGGTAACAGCCTCAGACAGGAGTCCGTCCTGACAGACACCATGTGTGAGGAGGAGCAGTTCACCTGTAGAGAAGACACCTGAAGATGCAGAAGCAGCTGTCTGAGGCTGACTGAACCCCAGACTCTGCATAAAAAATCTAACTGTAAATCAAGCTCCCCTGGCAACATCGAGTCCCTGAAGGGCTCTAGTGTTTATTTTTAGCTGTGCTGCCCATTGTAGCAGCTCTTTATTCAGTCTGCCACTACATGGCTCCACTAACTGCTGGCATTATTATACCAGCCACTTGAGCCGGGGCTCTATGCAGCTGTCTGTGTGTGTACTCAATCTCTGTATGTCAGTGTATTTCTGCAGGATCCAGAAGCATCATTGTGCTTGACAGATTAATAAGAGGAGGTGGGCTCAAGTCTGTAGTGCAGACAGAGTATGTAGTGTGTGGTCGTTATCACTGATGCACTTTAGAGGAAGGAATAGTCCAAAGGGACTATTTATTACTTGTTGCAACTTCATATGTTGTTCACAATAAAATGATGATGAATTTAAAATGACTCTCTCTTTTTTTTTTTATGTATCATTTTGCATGTGTGCATTTTATCACAGGAATGTCTGGAGGTACTGCCCAACAAGCAGACACAGATAAGACATGTTCAAATCCATCCATTATCTATACCGCAGACAACCACACACACACACACACTCCTATGGGAAATTTAGAATCGCCAATCAACTTAGGCTGCTTATAAGATGTATGTTTTTTCAGCATTATAGGCAAAACACTCACATTTTGAGTCCATGTGAAGTCCTTGGCTCATAAGCCCATGACAAATCACTACTGTGAGGGAGATGACACACTCAAAAAGGTGATCTGACTCATGAACACCGCAGCTCTCCTAAGACGCTTTGATAACAGCAGCAATGAACAGGACTGTGGACAACATGAATGGGGAACTGCATCATGGATCTTAAAATCTGTACAAAGCTAAACACACAGTCTCATCCTTGAGCCCAGATAATCAACTTGACAAAAATGCTGTTGAGCCAGTTGGAATCAAGAGATCAGGTTTGCTTTCTCAGAAAAATAATTTGGGAATCCAATCTGTCAAGGGAGCCACACACACGCACACACACACACACACACACACACACACACACAGACACAATTTACTGGAATGCAACATTTGTGTCTCTGACAAAATGTGGGAGACTCTTGCTAGTCACAAATGGTGTAGGTGGATGAAATTACTGAGCTCTAGCTGAGGTAATTTAATTCATGTAGGGAAGAACAAAGAGCGCGGTGAGTGTGAAGGGACCTTGCAGGGTGTAGACAAATTATCAACCTTCACAGACTGTGAATCAGCTTGTCATTCTGATCCTTTTCATCACCATATGATGTGGCGAGGTGAGAACGGATACTGGCAGAGAGTGTGTATTCTCTCCACCACGACAGCAGGCCCTCCTCTGTTCACACCGTCATGTGAGATGAGTTCACACGTGGCCCACTTTTAACGCAGTCTGGTTAAAACGGCTAACATCCCAGCCTGATGTATATGCAAATACAAAACACCATCACAAATAAGAGTTTTTTGTTAATATAGTTTAAATATTTTGACATTTGATACAAGCTTTGCCTCAAATGTACTTGTACAGCTCGTGCTCAGGAAGACGAGGATGCTGTCAGTCACACATAATAATGTAAAATGTCTATTTAAAAAAAAAAAAAGAAGTACAGCAGCTACTTTTACACAAGGATTCAATCTAACAAATCAAACAGACATAAACAGAACAGCTGCTTAATTTTCCATTTATTCAAACTTGTGGCTGTCAACACTTGTCACACCTGAGATGTTTGTAGCGCACATTCTGCCTCACGTGCATCTGTGTTTCCGTGTGACACTGGTCAGACACCAATATCAGGCACCAGTCTTTGGGTGGTGAAGAAGAGCTCGGGGATATCGGTCGGCCTCAGTAACCTGGTGGACAGAACCAGCACCTGGAGGGGAGAACGACACATTCTTAAGGTTAGCAGAGGTCACTTGCATGTAACTCGACACTTATAAACGAAACAGACACGAATGCCAGTGTGAGTAATATGTGAACTGACCATCAACAAGGTGGACCAATCAGGTGACTTGGAAGCAGCTTTATTTTCTTAATCTGACCGAAGGAGGTTGCGATTTAGGCCTGGTTTGTTTTTAATGACTGTTTTTACGGGAACTGTTATCTCAAAAATATTTTTTGGTTAGTGACATAAAATCTTTTCAGAGTGAACTTCTCTTTGAGAATAAGGTCGTGCGATAAGAATCAGGCACAAACTGTGTTTACCCAGTTCTGGGGGCTGTTTGAAACAACTGAGAGAAACTATATATAATAACTATATAATACATATAGAAACAAGGAACTCATAGCATTGCTGGCTTCAGCCATCTGGTAGAGCCATCCAGAAACAAACACAGATGTGGTTTATGGCTTCATTTAGACACGTTATGATCCATTAGTTGAAAAGCCACACCATATTTGGCACCTTCGTGTTCCCAGTTTCCTCCCAGGCTCCATCAGCTATAGCATTAAAAACCCAGTGTGTTGTAAAAGGCTTTGACCACTGACCATGACTTTTTTTTTTGTCACTTTTGTCATTTATGTTTTTGTATCAATAATGTTGTTGCCAATTTGATCAAATTTGATATCCAAAGTGTTTAATATAAGTTTGTTGCATGAAAGACAAAAATAAAATGATCAGTTTATTACAGTTTATTTCTCCAGAGTAATCCAGTTGTTACCAACACCTCTGTTCACTGGCCGGAGTCCTGGGGATGAACACTACAGTATGTTCAAAACAAAAGTAACAGTGACTCAGGTACTTCAGACATGAGACCGACATGTACCATTAACATTATGTAAGAGGTGCACATCTGAGAAGGGTATCGGAATTATCTGCAACCACTGTAAAGAATCCAACCACCAGTACAAACATTTTACATTCTCCTGTCAAGTCTACAGGGGCCGTGGGTTTGACACTCACTATAAAAATGTCAATGAAAATAGGTGGAAATTTCTGCAGTGACCCATGGAATGAGTGATAGAAGTGTTTACTGCAAGTACTTTATTTAAATGAAACATGCACTATGATGTATATGAACACCCTGATGCATCTTTATTTAGATGCAGGTCTGAGTCCAGATGCAACATTTGACAGATGCAGAAGATTTTACAGCACTCTCTCAATCATTGTTTTGCTATAATCAGAACCACAGTCCCTTTCTGTTGTGTAACAGAGAAGGCCTGGTTCTCTGCAGCAGTGTTGCTTTAACTCTGGGACAGCACATAAATTTGGCAACAGGCCTGTTTGTAGTGGCAGTGAATCTGTTTTAGAGGAACGCTGTCCAAGTGCAAGACCAAAACTGGTTCACAGGCATTAGCCATCACACAGGCACACACCTGCTTATACACAGTATGTTGTGCATGCATGAACTAAGGTTATTGTGCGTCTCCTGAGGTCAGTGTGTGTGTGACCCAGCAGGTCATTGTATAAGCTGGTCTTTATTCAGTTCTTTTGATTACAGATGGAAGACTCTGATCCTCTCCACCCCTCTCATTGGCTCCTTCTCAAAGCCTTTTATTAAGACAAACTCACATCACCCAGTCTGATCTCCTTCTTCCTCGCAACCACAGCAAACTCACTCATCTGCATGTTTTGCATGTCAGTGTAAACTGCAAATGTAATCAGCACTTAAAAGCACACAGACCCACAGGCTGGCATGTATCTTTACATGTATGAAATCACTGTTCATACAGTACATGTAACGATCAGACGACGGTCTCAGCTCTGCATCTGGTCTGAGCCATTGTTCATGTTCGGTGCATGGACCCACACGGCTCGTGTTAGAACAACAGACGTTTAGGACCTGGATAGAAATGATTCATCCACAAATAATGTAATGTCTCCAGTGTTTGGATCTGACTTATAAAGAATATATCTATCTGTAATGTCAAATTAACAAAAACACTGACATGTTTTATGTATACTGTATTTTCATTTGTTAGAATTTCTCACAACCCACAATGTAACTCGAGGAAACATACACAAGTACTATTGGCCATTGCTGTCGTGATCATGAGGAGTTTGATCTAAATTATCCATTAAGAGCTTTAAGAGGCACCTAAAGCATTAAAGTGTTAAACAGATTCAGCAGTTTCTCATAGTTTCATCCCTTACACCGACTCCACAGGCCTTTCACTCACAGTTACCATCCATGGCAAGATCTGAAACACTTCACCTGCCCTATTATTAACAGGATCACCCTTTTGTTTATTTGCAGGGTATTTATTTGACATGTTTGTATTTAAGGAGAGGGAGAAGGTGGCAAAGGCAACTGAAACAAAGTCAGGATTTGCCTTCTTTATTAGAGGAAGGTACAAGTATGCAGTCCTGCAGGTGTCACAGAGAATCGACTTGTGCACACAAATAAGTAACTTAATGGACAGTGCACCTTTTTTCTCCATGAATCTATGTGCTCCGTGTATAAGCAACTGTCAGGTTGGAAATGCCACGGTGATTTTACAGACATGGCCATCTACCAGTCACCTGGGAGTAAAAGACTCTCACTTACTCACCTGAGTCCCTGGTTTGTGTGTGGCAACAATGTCTCTGATGAGACGAAGCTCTGACGGTGTGACTCCACCAACCAGGAAGAGGAAGAGCAGAGGGTTGTCGGCGGGATGTGGACGACTCACCTGAAGACAGGACATTGTGATTGGTCAGTGTATTTTTAGACCATATGAGGTGTTGATACCGTTTCTTATTATAGGGCTGCCTGTGATAAACAACCCACTTTGTCTAGGGAACACTTAATCGTTTCCTCTCCATATTATTATCTGTGCTTCTCTCTGTGTTTTGTGGATGAGTTAGGGCTCAGCTGGACACCGGTAAAACTGTGGTGATGCTGATGAGAGTGGACTCCAGCAGGACACGGGTCACTGCAACTGCAAACAGAGCTCAACCATCACCTTTGTGTTAATATGGACATGTAATCAGACACACACCCTCATGCAACACATGCAGACAGAAATAAATGTATGAAATCAGTGGTCAGGGAACTCCTACAGACTCAGACATTTGCAGGTACAGCAAGAACATGAAGGTGTAGTTTAACAGCACAGTAAAGCCCGGTGGTTTTGCTGAGAGTGACTAGCTGCCGGAGAATAATGGCTCTGTGCTATTGCCTGTTGAGCTCAAATCAGGACACATCTGCTGCCTGTAAATGCCAGCCAAGCAATCAAAGCTGCAGGGGGTGGACCCAGGTGGGAGTGGCTGTACACGTGAAGCACCAGCAAGCCTGGGTGAAGCGTGTCAATGGTGGTTCAACATGTGTTTGTCAATAAAAATGTGTGAAAAAATGTCTTGTGGTATATGCAGCACATGTTATATGTTGAACTTTAGGACAGATTCAGCGGCACTTGACAGGACAGTCACACCAACTCCATGTGTGAGTAGAGTGTCTGAGCCATGTGTCCTGCCATGTGTTACATGGGGAGGAGGGGCTTATGGAAGTGTGTAGTGAGGAGCTGTGAGATGAAATGTGACGCCAAGTGCAAGTGAGGAGAAGAAAACATTATTGTCCCGATGAGAAAACATTTATGTTCACAAAATGTCTTTCAGATACAACCCACAAAATGTTCTCAATGTAAATGATTTAAAAAAAGCTAAGTGCTGGCAGGGAGTTAGCTTTCCTTTTTCAGATATTCACTATACAACTGGTTTCCAGATTTTTCCACACATCAACCAACTTCAAAAAAACATTCAAACCATGTCCATCCCTCTAAATTGCCCGTAGGAGTGAATGTGTGTGTGGTTGTTCGTCTGCATGTTGGCCCTGCGATGGACCGGTGACCTGTCCGGGGTGTACCCCGCTGGTGATCATGGCTTTGTCAGTTAGAGTAGTTTGCAAGGGCACGAGTTTAAACATAATGAGGCTGTAAAGGTGGACTAGTGAGTCTCTGCATTCGGTGTGGTGATGTTTAATGTCCCTGAAAACTTCGGAGTCTCATTTAGCTACTTGTTAGCACCCATCTTTTTTAAGACATGTAAAATCATTAAAAATCACAAGTGGGGTATTTACTAATGTATTTTATGTCGAGGAATAAAACTTTAAATACACCGACTTGTGTTAACTACAGACCTTACTTCAGGCGACACCTCCACTTGTCTCAAGTTTCAGACTTGGCGTGTTACTAGTGTTGCTCAGTGGGGCTTGTTCCTGCAACTTCATTCACCAGGAAGCATTAATAGTGATATTAAGCAAATATGGAACAAAGTATGCTCCAAAATGTGAGATACCCTGTGACATTAATCATTGGCTATATTTTCTGGCATTAGTCATACAGAGGAACTGTGGCTGAACGAACCTTTGAAGGAGCATGAGCCAGATCAACTGGGACTCTGTCTAAACATGGCACCCCCCACAGTTTTAATGAGATAAACTGCAGGGTACGCAGTAGGCTCTGGGTTAAAAAATAGAGGTTTTACTGCATAAGGTGTGTGTGCTGTGCTCCTATAGAAGATTTACAGTTTTAGCTTGTCTGAGTTGGTGATTCCTAGGCTATGTTTCCTAATTTTTGTAAAACCAGGCCACAGTTCACAACCAGTCTAACTCCTCCCCTCTGGGGAATCATGAGTTTAAACAGGCCCAGATGTCGGATAATCAGACCACTGATAGCAGTCTGCTCTGCAGTGTATATACATCACCCACAAGTCTAAAACAACATCCGAAATATTAGCATAACCCAAACATAACCCAGCAATTCAACTTTTTGAAGTATCTAAATTAATAAATAAAATCCAACATATGATTGTAAAATCAATTAACACTGAGTTGACTGGCAGGAGGGATGTGAGATTTTATGATGAACTGAATCGTTGCTAAAGAAAATGTACTTCGCCAAGAAGAATTAAGTGAACCCTTTGGAAACGAACATGATCCAGTCAGGGAATGTTTAATCTGTTCTGAATTCAGTTTATTAGCCTTCCAGATTGTTGTTTTTGTTCTTGTCCATACACTGTTTAAACATTCATGGTGTGAAAATGACATTAAGAAAGGATAACTGGAGAGGGGAGCTAGCAAAACTCGTGTCTGCAGACCCTCAACAAAAGCACCTACTATTTAAAAAAAAGTGGTCAAATGTGCAGACATAGGTAGTGCTACAATAAAAATGAAGGTGTGGATGGGTGGATATAATTCTATGGACATTAAAGGTTTCATACTTGGTACAGAGGGATCTCCTGGGAATACGCTTGACACATTCAAACTAGTCACCGAACCATAAGGTACAGAAGGAACATCATTTTCTGTACATTCCTCTGATCAAGAACAGCACCACCACTTGGCCAGTTGCACAGAACCGTGATGATGCAGGCAGCTACCACTTTAAAACAGTGAGAAACCAGCTAACAGTCCAGCAGCAGTGGGCCAAGGGAGGAATGTTCTGGGGACAGATGAGGTCACTTTTGTGAAGCCCATTTGGTGAGGCACATTGTGTTCTTTAAATGTGAAGTGAAAAGAAGCAGCTGGTGGCTCCATGTAGGAACATGTGGCTGTTTGTCCTTTAAAATCTGATCCTAAGGCAAACAGTCGCTGTATTGTTCATCTTTCTTCCTTTCATCCCTTCATGACATAATCTGTTACTGTATTAGTTAACAATGTCAGGTAACATGTGACTCCATTACATACAAATGTTTGTGTGTGTGTTGGTCTCACTGTATATACAATGGACAGACTGACAGCTCCCAGAAATGAAGTCACCAGGATTCGATCACCCCCTGGTGGTTGGTTGCAGTATAGATCGTAAATCACGCCTCCTCTATGTTAGCAAATGGGACATGAGCCAAACTAAAATCTCAAAGCACAAATCAAATACATTTTTCCCAGATGCGACTTCTGTCATTTTTGGCAGATATTATCACACTGATGTGTCTACAAGGGGTCATCTTTCTGGTAAGATACTGTATTTGCTTTGATTGGCGGCCTGATGCTGCGACTTTACTTCTGGTCGCTACTGTGCAGAAGCTGGTTTCAAAAAAGCAAGATGGCAGCCGCCGTATTCACAGTATTTTGGCTTCACTTTTGCATAGTGGGGGGATTGTTTGAGCAATGTCTGACCTTCATGAACATACTGAAGCCAGTCTTCAGCAGGTCTGTGAGGCCTCCGGACATGTGCTCAATGTCAGGGCATTCGAGCCTGCCGGGGTGGAAGACTTCCTCCAGGATCTGCCGTAGGAATGGACGATAGGTCGCCTGCAAAACAAACACCAAACACTTGAGCATTACAGTTAACAGCCAAACAGCAGCTTTATTTTTATATATAGAGATGTGTCAAGTGTAAAATTCGACAGTACACAATGTTTTTATGCACAGTGAAGAGTTGTTGGTGTATTTTCCATAGAGTGCCCTCCTTTCAGCCTCTGCATGTTTGTGTGAGTGACCGTGGGTGGGACACAGTGGAGTTATAAACAGCTCTGCTCGACCAAATAGGCTGCTGACTCATGAGTCACTTCAGGAAGAGGAGTTTATGTACTACTGCAATCAACACAAAAATCCTGCAGTGCTGGAAGTGTAACTTTGGCAAATCATAAGTGGGGAAGTGTTCAGGGGGATATCTCAAATCAAAAATCAACACGTGACAGCCTCACAGTCCTGTCAGTACTTCTGAACAATGTATTATCCAAACTACTAACTAGCTCCATAGTTAGGAGCTGTCTAGTTTTCACAAACATAGCAATTATTACTTTCTTTTATTAAAATCTTGTTTTTGAAGGAGCTGAACTTCACCAAAGCCTCATAAATACCTTCTTATACTCTTAAAAAGTGGTCCATCAAAACAAACCCTCTATATCAGGGAGTTAGCCTTTTCTGCCCAGGTACCCAGGACAGAATGTACCATTTATGGGAGTGAGGTTTGCTGTCTCGATAAAGACCCAGATATGAACAGGCTGAATATTTTCTGGTACTGAGCCCTAGCTACTAGCTAGGGGTACTGACACACAGAGGCTGTATGACAAAATGTAAGCAAGGAAGACAGATGTGAAAACTCAGCAAAGACCACATCTACAAACTGTTGATTTAAGCATTACGTTCATACACCCACACACACACACACACACACACGCTGTCCAAATGCTAATGCATCTAGGTGATTCTGCCCACAGGCATCCTGTCACCTCAGCATGGCCCATTAGTATGTACTGAATAGAAGACTGAGCCTCCCACTCCCCTAGTCCCTGAGGAGCAGACAAATATTGCCTGGGGAAATCCTGCTCCACTTGTTATATAAAGCACAAATTATATAAACTAACATTCACTTCAACCAACATGACTTTTCTACCCTGCACAAATTAGGCTCAGAGTAAACACATTAATGATTCACCTCTGGCTAAATAACACACACACACACACACACACACACACACACATACAACCAACAGCACCATGAGCAACCAAACCTCCCCCCACTCACAGACACTCCATTTTCATCTGCTTTCCAAAAAGTTAAAAGCACTCCATTAAATCACAATAACAAACACCCACATGAAATAAACAATATTAGAACTAGACCTCCATCTGTCGTATGCTCCATCACTCAGACTCCATGTATTTTTTACCAGGACATTCTCCAGTGTTCAGTTGCTCACAGCATGACGTGCTCGGGAAATCTGTATGGAGCTCTGCACCGAGTATACATGTGATGGTAATGGCGTATGAGTGCTGCTGCCTGCTGGTTTGATTAATAGATAACGTGTTATCCTTCATTTAAATGAACTGATGCTCACGGCACACAGTGTCAAAGATTCTGGGATAAAATCATTTGATCCTACTGACCCACAGTGTCTGAAAGGGTCTTATTTCAGGCTCTGTGAGAAACAACATCTTACATGTCAGAAGGTAAAAAAAAAGGCAAGAGTAAGAATTTCTGACCTATGTTCATTTCTGTCTGAGCCCATGGGAGGAGAACACTGCACCTAATGAGAGGAAGACATCTTGACCAACAGATATTGGCTTCAGTGGTGGAGGGGATCCATACTGAGAGGCTGATAGACTTCTGATGCTTCTCAAGAACAGCCAGTAGCTGGCAAATATCACGCTGTTCTCCTTTTAAATCGAAACCTTTTCATAATACAGCAGGAACAGGAACAGGAACAGACAGTTCTGCCCTAAGAGAAACACAATGATGCTTACCTCCAGGCACACACATCTGTATAGTCACAGGCCAGGCAAAGGTAATGACATATTTTGACAAAGATGACTGTAAATTCTATTCCTTCAGCTGCGCTGAGATGGAGATGGGCTAGTGAACAATCCCTAGCAGCATTAAAACCTTTTTGACTTTTGAGACTTTAGTATGGCATATTTCCATACAAAGCAGGTTGGCAAAGCCATCAGGTCAAATGGCGCCATCAAGGTTGGCAAAGCCATCAGGTCAAATGGCACCATCAAGGTTGGCAAAGCCATCAGGTCAAATGGCACCATCAAGGTTGGCAAAGCCATCAGGTCAAATGGCACCATCAAGGTTGGCAAAGCCATCAGGTCAAATGGCACCATCAAGGTTGGCAAAGCCATCAGGTCAAATGGCACCATCAAGGTTGGCAAAGCCATCAGGTCAAATGGCGCCATCAAGGTTGGCAAAGCCATCAGGTCAAATGGCGCCATCAAGGTTGGCAAAGCCATCAGGTCAAATGGCGCCATCAAGCATAGGATGGTGTACAAGGAGCTGTCTCTACATCCGAGAGTCTTCATTCAATTGGCAGCATGCGTTCAATTCTGAACGTTGCTGTTAGTTGGTTCTCTTGTTTGACATTGCACCGCCTCTTGTCTGTCAATCAAATGAATGCACATTGCTCTATAAGCAGTCTGGCTGTGATCAGCCGACAACGCCAAGGCGGGTTGCTGTGTTGTCGGACAAGAATGCTTTTCAGTGTTGGATGTTCAACAGTATTTTCCTTCTACAATCAGAAAAGGACTTTGCTTGGTGCCAGTTCAGTAGGCTGCATGTTTCAGCAGTAGTATATGATGTAACTTAGCTTTGCTGAAGGACTTTTAATAACAGTTTGACAGGAATAAGTGTCAAGTACAGTTGTGAGGTTTACACTGCCTGGGTTAAATATATGTTTATTATGTTATTATTATGTTTACATTTTTACAAAAGTAATTAAAAGTAATAAGCTACTCTGATTAAGTAATTAAAATAGTTACATTAATAATTACATTTTTAACAGGGTAATTCTGAAAATAGCCTTCCCAACACTCTGTACAATAAATATGAAGCTACCACCAGCAGCTTGGTAAACAGAACACAAATATCAGTGTATAACAACATATTTTAAGCCATTTTGATGCCATTTTATCGTGGGCTATGCGAGGGGCTATTTCTTGGTTGGGACTAGTTGCTCAGACTCCATCAAGATACTGAACCCAGTCTTTGGGTTGAGGTATGAGCTGGCTGCTAGCTGTACAGCAGCTTTGTAGTTGGTGTTCCAGGAGCAGTCTCATATTTTCTGTGAGGATTATTGTACATTTCAATTGTGGCTAAAATGAAATAAAATAAAAATGGATGAAACGTCCTAGAACTTAAGAAATTTCAAACATTTCATCTTCAACTCCTCCAATGACAATACGACTTTGTACCTTATTGATTTACTGTATAAATGGGTCAACTTATGTAAGAACTGAAAAAAATAAAAGCCTCAACCTGCACATTTCAAAGGAGGTTCAAGAGACACAAGCAATAAAAGACAGAGAAAGGAGGACACAAAGGAGGCTGCCGTAATAACACTTGTTCAAGCTCAACTCTACTTCCAGGAATATTTCACTTTACTGTTATTTTCTTTCATTTAGCCTTCATGTACTTGACTAAAAAAACAGTGTGATGAACTTTCAAGGACTACCTTTTATGCTCCTGGCCTATAAGTGGTGGTGAAGATGTCTATAATGAAAGATAAGAGCCACTCATGAGGACAAAGCTTTGAGTGGAGCACTGAGAGGCTGCTTGGAGTTACATAAGCTGAGACACAAACAGTTTATGTCTGCCAAACCTGAGGAGAACAAAAGCAATAAAGACCAGAGGTCCTGACCCTACTGAGTCTGCCTGTGTTACTGCCACAAGAAGAGGACACCAACAGATAAACACAGCAGTTGTGAGAAATGCACAATTTGAACTAAGTATTGTCGATGGAGCCGTGTTTGCCCGTTTCTGTGGATGTGTCTGTGATGCTCACGACCCAAAAGATCAAAGGACAGACATGTTGGATTTGTTGTCTAAAAGGGAGCCACCCTGTAACACAGAGTGTGTCTTTTCATATTGACAGGCTGTGTTTGTGTTCCTCTGACCTGGTGAACTCCGTCGCTGGCGGTGTAGACAGAGCGCAGTTGCTTCAGGTGGTCTCTGGTGTGGCTCAACCCTCGGAGGGTCTCGAACATGTGCTCCACCACAGAATGGGCTCGCTCTATAGTCAGCTCCTCTGGGTTTGCACAACCTGACAAAACACACACACACACTCTTACTAAATGAAAGGAAAGTTATAAAATCACATATGAATGTCAAGAGCGTGACTTAAAGGAGGAAAACCTAAAAGCTCTTGTGAAAATGCATCACTGTATTGATAACACTTTGGACAGAAGTTTCAGATTAAATTAAATTACAAAGTTCCTTCAAAACTGGCCCAAGAGGAAAATGAAACATACAAGAAAGCATTTGTATCTGCAGACATTCAGATGTGGAATGCTGCGTTTTTGTTGGGGGTTTTCTCAGCTGGGTGTGCAGTGAAACCTATTATCAAGGTAAATGCAAGGGAGCCAGAGGACAAGAGTTCCTTTATTCAAGCAGAAACTGCTGTCAAATCAAAGGCTGATGCTCCATCCCTTCTAAAGAAGAGGACAGAGAAGACTTGCTGTGAAATAAACCCAAAATGACAGAGCATAAGATAAAAGCAGGGAAACAGTAACAAATAGACACTGGTTTTGCAGGAAAAAGAGCATAAGAATGACAACGAGAGGTAAACAGAGCGAAAGTGATTGGACAGAGAGACAGTGAAGGAAGACAGATTATGGTAGGCAACCTGGAAGTTTAGAGTGGTCCTGGCAAAGTAGGCCACCTGGCACCTGAACTTCCTGCTCACATCGCTCAGCAATGTAGCTGCCTTCTGTTAGCAAGAGGGTCAGACTGAAAACTGTAGCAGTGTCTGAAAGACTCACAGCTTACAACAGGAATATTAATGCTGCAAATCAGCAAATTCATATAAGCAGATAGTCTCATAGTCTCAGCCCATGACTTTTATTGACTGGAACTTTAGGATCCTACTTCGTCCCAGTGAGGAGCTGGGATAAGTAGATTAAGATTGAGGAGCCATTTCCTGTCTGTCTGCCTGCCTCAGGGCTGTGCTGGCCCACTCTGTGATCTAACTAGTATCAAAAGCTTTATAAGGTTATAATACTAGTCTACAATGGCTTTAAGTTCATATATTTAACTTTTCACAATACTAATCATGGATGTTGCATAGGTTTTACAACAGAATTATTATCTTAGAGGACAATGCATCTGCTGTTCCTTGGAAGTTCTCAGTTAAAACAAAAAACAAACCTACTTAACATTATAAAGGACACATAAGAGTGATGCACAAGATCACATAACCGATACCATATGAACATAAAGCGGATGTTAAAGGTGGATTAACCTCCATGACAGGCTCCTGACAATATTACATTAACACGATCCTAATAGAAGTGAGGCACCACTTTTTTGGTCACTTGAGGCCAACATAAACAATGACATTATCACCACCTTTTAAGTTGATATGGTGAACTTGTTAGCAAACGGTTTCTTATTTACCCATCCTACAGTTATGGAGCAACATTATGATTCATCTGCAGTCATGTTTCTGGCTACCTGCTGAATAAAAGGCTGGTATTCACTCTCTAGTAGCAGATTTGCTCTAAATCTACTTCTTTTTTGTAATTCAATGTTTATTAGGTTTTGAACATAGGAACACAGTACATACGGTACATACACCCACTTCCCACCCCAAATGATAGTTCAAACAAAGGGTCGATAAGCCTGAGTTGATAAGTCTTTCACTAAGCTTATAGTGTCCAAGCAGAACTCAGTAGTTTCAGGAGAAGATGTGTTTATCCCAACGGTTGAAAGTTCCTGAAATCATAATAGTGTGTTATGCCGTGACCATGCCGTCAAATTGTATGGAAGATTCTAGGATTGAGTAATAAGTGTTTTGGCTGCTGACGGTCCCATGAGCCATAACTTAAGAGTTAATTCGGTGAGTAAAAGTTCAGAGGAGTCATTAAGGAGGTGAAGTGCCAGGTCCATCTGGAAGTTTACTTTTATCAGCGTACAGATAGTTCGTACTGTCTCTTGCCAAAAGCACTGTACCTTTGGACAGTCTCAAATCATGTGTACCAAGGCGCCCAGGGTGTCCGGAGGACAAAATGTACAGTTCGAACTAGGGCTTAGTCCTGTCAAGTATCTCTGCTGGGGTGTCACATATGCCCCATGACAGAATTTGAAATGAATAAATTGGTGGTTTGGTTTATGTAAGGATAATACACAATTTGAACAAGCCCTGACCCAGTCTATCTTCCTATTGAGGCCGGACATGGTCCTTTCCCACTCACGGACCCCAGTAATAGAAACTTTGGAGTATGACGAACGTTCATTATACAGTACATAAACGATACAGTGTGTTTTTGAGTTGACTGAGTCCATATGACCAGAGGGTGGTCGAGGTCAACCAGCCTCTGAGGTAAATATGCTAAATGCTCCACTATATTCTGCAGCTAGTCGTTAACTGTGTCTGCCTGCTTTTTGGTGCTGAGCTGTGTACAGTATGTTCTAGAGGTATTTTTAAATGAAAACTGTAGAGCCTTTTTATCGTAACAGAACAGTTGTGGGGTGGACAGCTAAACAATGAGCTGAAACAATAAAGCCCTGTAAAGCTGAGGGTAGCTGCAGAGTTGGGTGATCAAAACGTCCGTAGATCCATCACTATGAGCGACACCTTTCACACTGTCCACTGATACGCTATTATTAGAAAAATATCAATTATAGACAAAACAAGTTTATAAAAACAATGCAGTGCATGTATGTTTTAGTGTACATGAAATATAGTGCAGAGCACAGAACAGGACGTTTCCATGTCTGTGAACAAATCCTTTCAGTAAAAGGAAGCTAGAAATGCCAGGCAACTAATGAGGCTAGAATCAAAAGGTTATGCATGACTTCTGCCACCATCAAACCCCAGAAACTCAATTAAAGCAGTTACTTCAAGATTAAAAAAACATATGAGCTCACATAGTGTATGGATCTACTTGAACTCAAAACAAAGAGACACACATGTCATATACAGCCTAACATTTTTAGGACGTGGTAAAAATGGACCCGACTTTGCCTGTAACATACTGTAAATTGATGGACTATGAGGACAGTGTCCAATGTCTCTGCTAATGCTTCCCTCTCAGTTTGGTAAAGACAAGATGTGACTTTCACAGGCCTGAAAACAGACCTGCAAACAGATCTGCCTCATTTTGACTGGCATATTACATATACTGAGGAATATATCAGCACAGTTAGAATGTGTACACTGTACAGCTTGACTGGCTTTAATCTCTGCTCCTTTTCAGACAGTAGAGACAATATCAAGTGAGCCTTTGTTTTGAGTCGCTGTCTTAAGGAATGTGAGATGTTTGTGCCAGTGCTCTCCTGCGTTGCCCAGGCTGAGAGGTAAACTCTGGAAAACCAGCAAGGTGATTTGATGGAGGTGAACATGAAGACTCAGTTAGATGTGGGTCTTATCTTTGCAGACACCCGCAGAAGAGAGAGGCCTCTGCAAAACAAACTACAACTGACTGTTTCTGAGCATTCAGCTTATGATAAAAATATGGAAAAATGCAACATGCAAATACACAGTACATTTATGACAGCTCTGACAGCAACAATGTATTGAAACATGCTCTGAGGATGGTGCATATTGGACCTGTTTGCGCACACTAGAATGGAGGAGGGCTGGACACATTATAAGGGCTGGGTGTGAGAAGATGTGTAAATCTGTTCGAGTGCTTGCATGTCTGCCGTGAAAGAGCTGGTTGACTTGTTGCCAAAGCATACAGTGCAGGCACAGGGCTTGGTCTGCTGCTGTGGCAGGCTGATGGATGCGGCCAACCCCCACCCCCGGGGTCCGGGACCATCCATCTTGGCTGTGAGGCTGTGTCTGAATCCATCTCACGTGACGCTGCCACCCACCACATTTACCACACCACACACTGTGTGATGCCACCCTCACAAATATGAGCCGAAGTCTGGTTTGTTCAAATGAAGTGCATAATAAATGGTTATTTAACAGCCATCTGACCATCTTCTAGAACAATTTCATGTCTTCACATAGTTGCACTGCTTGTAAAACTGATGGGAAATGATGAGTAAGTATGTCATTTACACAGCTCTGCATTTGCCTGTCATGGCATTTATGTCTATAAATCATGCAAAACACATGTATTTCCTGAAACGACTCAGTTTAAAAGTCGCCAACTTGTTTAGGTAATTACAAATGAATGTAGGGCAGCACGGTGGCACAGTGGTTAGCACCGTTGCCTCACAGCAAGAAGGCTCCGGGTTCGGGCCCCGCCCGGGACCTTTCTGTGTGGAGTTTGCATGTTCTCCCCGCGCTTGTGTGGGTTCTCTCCGGGTACTCCAGCTTCCTCCCACAGTCCAAAGACATGCAACCTAGGTTGATTGGTGACTCTAAATTGCCCATAGGAGTGTGTGTGCGCGTGTTGTTCGTCTATGTTGGCCCTGCGTTGGATTGGCGCCCTGTCCGGGGTTTCCCCTGCCTTTGCCCGATTGTCGGCTGGGATTGGCTCCAGCCGCCCCCCGTTTGTTAAAATAGCTGGACAATATAGTTTTAAGCTTAAAGTTGCAGTATGTAACTTAAGGTAGCATGAAACTCCAAATCAATCCACACTGCTCCGCCCACCACTTCCTCTCCCTGCTCCTCTATGCTCTGCACTGCCATGCTCTGCGAAGCTCCTCAGGTATTTGTCATTATGATATTACAATGAATGAGAATGCAACAAAACTTACTGAAAAAGCAGAAATAATTGAAAACCTCTGATTGGTTAAAGAGGTCAATCCCGCTCAAAATCTTTTAGAAGCTAACATCTCTGCACTGTTGCCAGCGCTGTTCAATGAGTCTGGGTCACAGGAGGCTTCGACAGCACCTCTCCACATTAAGACAAGTTTTGGAACACATTTCTACAACTAAAATATTTGAAACTTACATACTGTAGCTTTAACATCACTCTAACAGAAGGATGTGGATTAATACACATTTAGTGTTCTAGTGAGTATTTACAACAGAAGGATGATGAATGCTGGACTAACTCCAGACTGTTCCAAGTTCATGTTAATGAAGCAACAATGTAATGTTTTGACATTATGACAAAGGGAAAATACAGATTGTTGTCAGTCTTG